TGGACTCAAATGATCCTCCCACCTCAGCCTCCTGACTAGCTGGGACTACAGACACACACCACCATGCCCAGCTACTTAGGAGGTTGAGGAGGGAGGATCCTTTGGGCCCAGGAGTTTGAGTCTAGTCTGAGCAACATAGCAAGACCCTATGTCTTTAAAAAACAGAGTTGAAAAAGAAAGAAAAAAGGATGTGAAGGGTTAAATTTGAACACTTTCCAGGTAGTTTTCAGCATCATGCTTTGGTGGAATCATGGTTTTGTGGCTAAGTGGGGTTGCTGCATATTACATTCCTGCCTCTTCCTTCCCCCAGCCTTAGTTGTCTTCATTACATTCATGCCTGGGAAGTGTTCCCAGTGACCTGAATTAGGCATTAAGATCATGGGAATCCAAGATTTTCCCATGTCTTCTAGCATATTTGTTCATAAGAAAAGGAAAATTTCCTCCTTGCAGCAAGGCATTTTTAAAACAGTCAGTCACTGTGGAATCTTTCACTAAAAAATCCTTTGAATAGAAATGTGGTCAAGGAGAGGAAAGGTATCAGCAGTGATACTACCTTACGATAGTGTATTTCATAGCACTTGAAGTACCTTCTTATTTGTTTATGGTAAGAAGGTAGGCAGAGAGTTAGTGACTTGCCTATTGTAACATACATGTGGTAAATGCCAGAGAGGACATTCTGGACTTCTGTTAGTTGGGATTGCTTTTGACTACAGTTGACAGAAAATGTGACTATAAATGGGCTTTCATACGAAAACTTACGTACTCTTTCTGAGCTGAGAGAGTCTTCGGTAGACTCTGTTCTGCGGCCCAGCGCTGAGTCAATGGAGGTGATCTCTAGCCACTGCAACGCCTGTCGCGTCCTTTGGAGTTCGCGAAGCGCGATCTGCCGCGTCCAGTCGCTGGCCGTGATACGTGGATTACAGCACCTGACCCCGACACGGCGTAATTTTTTTATTAGTGGTAGAGACAGGTTTCTCACTATGTGGTCGAGGCTCCAGTCTTGAACTCGCTGATCTCAGCGGTGGATCCGCTTGGCCCCTTGCCTCCCAAAGTTGCTGTGGATTAGCGCAGCGTTAGCCACTGTGCCTAGGCCTTTTTTTTGGTAATATAAGAAAATCTGGTTCTTTAGCAGGTCATGGAAATATGAAAAAAAACACCGTACATTGAGAGTAGTGTAGCATGATAGGTTGAGTTTTTTATTTTTTTTATTTTTAGCCAGAGATTTCGCCTCTTGTCGCCCAGGCTGGATGCAGGCTCACTTGCAACTTCCGCTGCCTGCGGTTCAAGGGATTCCTATCGCCGTTCGAGCTCTCGTGCCTGAGTGTACCCTTGGTTGTATATGTACCTGCTAGCCACGCCCGAGCTAGCATTTTTGTGGGATCTTGTAGTAGGCAGACAGGCGCGTTTCACCTTGTTGTCCAGTGCTGATCTCTTAACTCCTGACCTCAGGAGAGTCTATTCCTTGCATAGCCTCCAAATGCAGTGTGCTGGCTATTCTTTAGGCCGTCAGCACGCGGGTGCCTGGTCGGTATTTTTTTTTCCCCCCGAGCTCTATGTTTTTCTTAATAAACGCCCCTTTTGTCTGTTTTCTTTTTAAATGAGATTCATGTTGTATAATTAAGGGTTTAAAGAAGTGTTAATGGTAACTTTTTTTTGTTTTTGTTTTGAGACGAGGTCTGCCGCCTTGTCACCAGGCTGGAGTGTAGTGGCGATATCGTTGCGGCCGACTGCGCCTTGGCCCCCCTCTCCCGGGGTCAAGAGATGTCTCCTGTTTCACCCTCCAAGTAGCTTGCATTACAGGCAGCTGCCAGCCATACCAATGTGCCCGGCTAATTTTTATGTTTTAGTAGAGATCGGTTTCACCCATGTTGCGCCAGCTTGGGCGCAACTCCTGACTTCAGGTTATCATCGCCCTGGCCCTCTAAACTGCTGGGTATTACAGCGTGAGCACTGCCCCCACTAGAAAGGTATTTAATTTCAAATAAACATTTACTTCAGCGTGATTACTGGCATCGCCCTCCCTTCTAAGATACAGATACTTTTGGTACATGTGTTCGCCCTGGATAAGAACAACATGGGCTGCGCCAGGCACAGTGCCCACACTTGCTGGATCTGAGCGCGTGGTGCATCACTTTGAGAGTCAGAGTTTGATGACCAAGCCTGGGGCCAACATGGTGAAATCCGTTGTCTCTACTAAAAAAATTGCAGCTCTGGCCTGTGGTGGCTCTGTAGATTGCCAGCTACTCGGGAGACTGATGGCCATGTGGATGCCCTTGGAACCCGGATAGGCAAAAGTCTGATGGTAGCCAGGATCATGCCACTGCACTCCATACGCTGGGACGACAGTGAGACAATTCTGCAAAATAAAAAAAAAAAAGAGAAAAAATAGAGAATGGCTCATTGGTGGTGCATCTGCCAAATTAGTTGGCCACGTGAGTGTGTGGCCTTAGCGCGGTATTATCAGATTACTTTCAGCTATTTATTAATTTATAGATGGCTTGAGTAGAGGATTGGTAAACCATACAGCAGCAGTTTCCACAGTATAGAGTGCAAAACTGTCGTAGCGTAGGAGTAGGGGAGGCGGGCGACTGTTAACCGCTTCCTTGTATCGCGCCTGGCCCTTCTAGTTCCTGATTGCTGCATTTTGCGTGCCTCGTTATGGCTGTTGGTCCAAAGGTCGTCTGTCTGATAGCGACCCGCACAATAGTATTTTTTTAAAATTTCGCGGCCGGGCGCGGTGGCCTCAAGCTGTGAATCGCGAGCTCACTTGGGCGGAGGGCTGAGACGGCTGCGGATCACGAGCTCAAGGAGATCAGAGACCATCTGGCATACCGGTGAAACACCGTCTCTACTAAAAAATACAGGAAAAAACCTAGCCGGCCAGGCGGTCTGGACCTGAGCCCAGACTACTCGGGAGTGCTGAGGCAGCAAAATGGCGTCAAACGCCGGGAGGGGGGAGCTGCATGAGCTGGGAGAGATCCGCCACTGGCACTCCGCAGCCTGGGCGACAACTCAGACTCCGTCTCAAAAAAAAAAAAAAAAAAATATTTCTAAGAAAAGACAACTTATATTTGGCAAAACTGTGTTGAGCTCTTACCATGTATAATGCACTGTGTTAAGTACCTTGATGGATGGATGGATGGATGAGATATACACAAGTAAATAAAATCTATCTTTGTTTTTAGGAACTTCGAGTATACTGGGAGAGACATTTACACAGTTAACATAAAATTGCATGATAAGTGTTACAGCGGAGATGTAAACAAAGCACGATTGGCTTTGGAGAGGCAACAATTTTGTATGATAGGTGGAAATTGGGAAAGAGTTCACAGAGATTTGAACTGGACTTTGAATGATGGATAAGCTGTTGGTTGGTAGGCATAAAAATTAGTGGTGTATTTTAGAAATTGGGTTATTCAGGGCAGAGAGAGAATAAATTGGGCTAGAGGAGGCTAGAAATGAGAAAATGGTAAATTGAGGGAAAATAATGACATGGTGAATGTGAAACACCTAGCACAGTGTAGATACTTATCAGACTTTGCCTCTTTCTTTTAAAAAACATTTTTAAGGCCAGGCGCGGTGGCTCACGCCTGTAATCCTAGCACTTTGGGAGGCCGAGGCGGGTGGATCATGAGGTCAGGAGATCGAGACCATCCTGGCCAACATGGTGAAACCCCGTGTCTACTAAAAAAAATACAAAAAATCAGCCGGGCGTGGTGGCGGGCGCCTGTAGTCCCAGCTACTCGGGAGGCTGAGGCAGGAGCAATGGCGGAACCCGGGAAGGTGGAGTTTGCAGTGAGCTGAGATCGTGCCCACCGCACTCCTCCTGGGTGACAAGAGTGAGACCTCATCCAAAAAAAAAAAAATCATTTTAAAATTTAATTATTTATTTATTATTATTATGTTTGGATGGATTTTTGCCCTTGTTGCCCAGGCTGGATGCAATGGCGTGATCTCACTCACTGCAACCTTCGTCCCTCCAGGTTCAAGCGATCTCCTCGCCTTACCCTCCCGAGTAGCTGGAATTATAGGCTCCCCCCACCCCACGCCCAGCTAATTTTTTGTATTTTTTTTTTTTTTTTTTGAGATGGAGTCGTCGCTCTGTCCCCAGGCTGGAGTGCAGTGGTTGGATCTCGACTCACTGCAAGCTCCCTCCCCGGTTTACGCCATTTCTCTGCCTCAGCCTCCCGAGTACTGGGACTACAGTGCCTGCCACCCCACGCCTGGCCTAGTTTTTTTGTATTTAGTAGAGATGAGGGTTTCACCGTGTTAGCCAGGATGGTCTCGATCTCCTGACCTTGTGATCCGCCCGTCTCGGCATCCCAAAGTGCTGGGATTACAGGCTTGAGCCACCGCGCCCGGCCAATTTTTTGTATTTTTTAAGTAGAGACGAGGTTTTGCCATGTTGGCCAGGCTGATCTTCAACCCCTGACCTCAGGTGATCCACCCGCCTCCGCCTCCCGAAGTGCTGGGATTGCAGGCGTGAGCCACCGTGCCCAGCCTAAATTTAATTTTTAATTTTTAATTTTAATTTTTTCTTTTTGGTTTTTCTTTATATTTGCTGATTACTTACAGATAATTTTTATTTATTTAGAGACAGGGTCTCTCTATGTTTTGTAGGCTGGACTTGGACTCCTGGTCTCATGTGGTCCTCCTGCCTCCCAAAGTGCCGGGATTACAGACATGAGCCACTGTGTCTGGCCCACTGCTTTCTAATTCCAAACATATTTACCTCAAGGAGTATCTTTAAGTTACCTGAAAAACTAATTTTTAGGTTGATTGGACAAAGTAAGGCTATTTTCAGTAAATTCTAGGTGGTTTGCAAAATTACCACCGTGATAGTAAAACCACAGTAATGATGGGAATTTACTTAGATTTATGTGCAAACATTTCTTTCCTCAGTAATGATGAGAATTTACTTAGATTTATGTGCAAACATTTCTTTCCTCAGTAATAATGGGAATTTACTTAGATTTAAGTGCAACCATTTCTTTCCTCAGAAGGTGACCTGCTGAGAAGAGTGGTACAAATACTGGGAAAAACCTGCTCTTCTGCACTAAGTGGGAGACAATGTCACAAGTTAAAAGCTCTTATTCCTATGATGCCCCCTCGGACTTCATCAATTTTTCATCCTTGGATGATGAAGGCGATACTCAAAACGTAGATTCATGGTTTGGTAAGTGCCTGCTTTCTCTGGCTATTTTAAGGATTAGTGGCTTGCTTTGTGCTGAAGACCTTTCAATAATAGAAGGGGTTGCAACAAAAGAACTAAAATATCAACTCCTTTCTGCACCAAGAAAATAACTAAAATATCAACTCCTTTCTGCACCAAGACATTCTGTCATCCATGATATTGTGGGAATAGTTGAAATGCCCAGTATTTGGGGAACGGATTGTAAACACAAATTATATGTTGTTTTGTAGTTCAGAATGGTGGATTTAAGCTTTAGGGACATACGGGAAAGTTCAGATGAACCAGTGTTCAGCAAAACTCCATGCTCAAATATGTCTGTAGTGATGGCAGCCACATAAAAACTTTCTCTACTATCATTAGGCATAGATTATATCACAGCTAGGATGTTGACATTCATACAATCTACCAGTTTTACTCAGATTTCTCCAGTTTCACTTGTATGTGTATTAAGTTCTCTGTGGTTTTATCACCTGTGTTGGTTAATGTGTCTACCACCACAGTCAAGATATTGAACAGTTCTAGTATCACAAGGAACTCTTGTATTGCTCTTTTATAACTACCCTCACCTCCCTCCTGCCACCCCTCCCTCAATTCATTTTTTTTTTTTTTTTGGGAGACTGGAGTCTCACTCTGTTGCCCAGTGGTACAATCTCGGCTCACTGCAACCTCCGCCACCTGTGTTCAAGTGATTCTGCCTCAGCCGCCCAAGTAGCTGGGATTACAAGCACCCACCAGCTCACCTGGCTAATTTTTGTATTTTTAGTAGAGACACGGTGTTTTGCCATGTTGGCCAGGCTGTCCTTGAACCCCTGACCTCAGGTGATCCACCCACCTCAATCTCCCAAAGTGCTGGGATTACAGGCGTGAGCCACTTCCCCTGGCCCTCAATTCATTTTTAAATGGAAGGATTATGCTACTAAGAACCCAATCCCAGAAACAGTTTTGCTTGGCCAACAGTAAATAAGAATGTAGTTACATTTTTACATTACTTTGAAATAATATCTGATACTAGTTGTTGAGGCCCCTTTGATTCTTTCTCTCATGTCTCCATCCTCCTTATCAGGAGAAATCACTATCAATACGTGGTGGGGAACAGAAGTGAGTCCATTGCAGCTGTACTTATCCGTATAATGCACTGTCCAAATGTGATGGCAGGTGCCATTCCTTTGGAAAAGGACTTTAATGGCATCTAGTGGGGATCCTGAGAGGAGTAGTCTGTTGGAAGTGGTGGGGGAGGAAGGGTAACTACAAGGGCCACCTGTCCTGCGGGGATCTTCCCCATGCCCTTGCTTCACTGGAACCCTAAGGAAATGGCTGGGCTGTCTGAGGATTTCTTTTTCTAAGCTTTTCTTTAAAATAAAAAAGAAAAGATTAGCATAAGAGTACTGTTAAATACAATTTGGAAGAAAAAAAATGACCCCACTATTTTTCAAAAACTACCTTAGTTTAAAAAATTATTTATTTGTTTTTCTGTTTTTGCCAGAGTTCTTTTGGCTAACAAAACTACCTCTATTTTAATATATTACTTTCCAATTTTTTTCTTAAATAAATAGTCACATCTTTTACACAGTTGCAGTCAGAGTGTACATGCACAGGGTAGTTATTGCTGTGTCTCACTGCGTTCCTGAAACTTATCAGTAGGCTGTTGGTAGAATAGACCCTTCATTGCTTTGTATTGACTTCTGGGCACAGTAGAATCTAAGATAAAATTTCTTGAGAAAACGTAGCTCTGCTCTACCCTCACACACCCCTTATTCCTCCCACCACCCCAGTGAGGAGGAAACTGTAAGACTATACAATGTCTCTTGTAAGCTCTAGAGTTTTTGATGATTACTATTTTCTTTTTCTTTTTTTTGAGACGGAGTCTTGCTCTGTCGCCAGGCTGTAGTGCAGTGGCTCGATCTCAGCTCACCGCAACCTCCGCCTCCCAGGTTCAAGCGATTCCCCTGCCTCAGCTTCCCAAGTAGCTGGGATTACAGGCACGTGCCACCACGCCCAGCTAATTTTTTGTGTTTTAGTAGAGACGGAGTTTCACCGTGTTGACCAAGATGGTCTCAATCTCCTGACCTTGTGACCTGCCCACCTTGGCCTCCCAAAGTGCTGGGATTACAGGCCAGAGCCACCACACACGGCTGGTTACAGTTTTCTTTGAGAGGAACATGATGTATTTAGGGGGTAGATAAAGCTAGTTCATGTTTGTATGACCCTAAATGGGTACCAAACAAAGATAAGGAGTTATTCACAATGCAGAATCTGTACTTTTTCTTTTTTATCATACATTGTTTAATGTTGCCAGTTTTTTAGTGATTGTTTTTATAGTCTGTGTCTGATGTGTAATGTATACTTTTTCTTTTGATTGCTAGAACTTTGCTTGTACTGGCCACATGAGTTGGAAGTGTACTGGTACGGAGCTGTAGTTTGCATTTTAAGTGCGTGATAGTGATTTGTTTTGCTTCCTTGCTGATTGATTGCACAATGATGATCTTCCCTTTTCACAGAGGAGAAGGCCAATTTGGAGAATAAGTTACTGGGGAAGAATGGAACTGGAGGGCTTTTTCAGGGCAAAACTCCTTTGAGAAAGGCTAATCTTCAGCAAGCTATTGTCACACCTTTGAAACCAGGTAAGAAAACATCTTAGAATAAAGCTCCTTGACAGAATGGTGGGACAGTGTCTTAGAAGCCTGAGGATCTGGGAAAACTACCTAAATGTTCTCTTTGTTTATTATTAGTAAAATGGGCTAATTCATTTCATGATGAATGTAAAACTAACGATGTGCTACACTTAAAAAAAAATCCCTTGGAGCTTAAGCTAACATAATTTTTTTTTTTTTTTTTTTTAAAGATGGGGTCTGGTTCTATCACCCAGGCTGGAGTACAGTGCCACAGTCATAGCTCACTGCAGCCTCAAACTCCTGAGCGATTAGTAGCTGGGACTATAGGTGCTCACCACCATGCCTGGCTGATTTTTAAAAAATTTTAGTAGAGAAGGAGGCTTTGCTAGCCAAGCTGATCTTAACCTCTGGGCTTCAAGTGATTTTCCTTCCTCAGCTTCCCGAAGTGCTAGGATTATAGGTGTGAGCTATGTACGGTGCCCGGAGGCTAACAGAATTTTATTGCCAGATACGTAACCCTTTTCTTTTTATGACAAGATTTAATGTAACCTAACCTGGGTCTGGGTGGGAAGTAAAACAGCAAAAAAGAAGACTCTACTGCTTGCCATTGTACAATAATTATTTGAGTTATGTATCTGATTTTTTTTTTTTTTTTTTTGAGATGGAGTCTTGCTTTGCCGCCCAGGCTGGAGTACAGTGGCACGATCTTGGCTCACTGCAAGCTCCATCTCCTGGGTTCACACCATTCTTCTGCCTCAGCCTCCCGAGTAGCTGGGACTACAGGTGCCTGCCACCACGCCTGGCTAATTTTTTGTATTTTTAGTAGAGATGGGGTTTCACTGTGTTAGCCAGGATGGTCTGGATCTCCTGACCCCATAATCTGCCTGCCTCGGCCTCCCAAAGTGCTGGGATTACAGGCGTGAGCCACAGCGCCTGGTCGATATTTATCTTTCTATGCCTGACTTATTTCACTTAACATAATGTCCTTCAGGTTCATCCATGTTGCTGTGAATGACAGAATTTCATTCTTTTTTATGGCTAAATAGTATTCATTGTATGTGTATGCCACATTTTATCTGTTTGTCTGTTGATGGATACTTCAGTTGATTCCACATCTTGACTATTGTGAATAGTGCTGTAATAAACATAGGACTGCAGATAGATATCTCTTCGATGTACTGATTTCCTTCTTCTTAGATATATACCCAGTAATGGGATTGCTGGATCATATGGTAATTATATTTTTAATTTTTTGAGGAGCCTCCATACTGTTTTCCATAATACCTGTACCAGTTGACTTTACTACTAACAATATATAAGAGTTCCCCTTTCCATCCTCAGAGATGCAGAGAAATTTTTAACATTTTTCATAGTATCCACTCTAACTGGGATGAAAGGCTATCTCATTGTGATTTTTAATTTGCATTTCCCTGATGATTAGTGATATTGAGCATTTTTTCACATACCTGTTTGCCATTTGTATGTATTCTTTTGAGAGATGTCTATTCAGCTCATTTGTCCAGCTGTTGAGTTAGAGTTCCTTGTGTATTCTGGATATTACTCCCTTCTTTAATGAATAGTTAACAAATATTTTCTCCCATTCTTTAGTTGTCGCTTCACTCTGTTGATTGTTTACCCTGCTGTGCAGAAAGTTTTAAATTTAATATAATCCTTTAGTGATTGTTTTTATAGTCTGTGTCTGATGT